CGTCCCTCTCGGACTGAGAAGCACAGGACACCACCCCAAAACAGGGCTGTTTTCCAGCGTGCTGGGCAGGGCCAGGGCCAGGGGCTGAAATCCAGCACCTGCTCCGCATGAGGCACCAACACACTTTTGTGTCATTCTGGAGTAGGGCACCCACAGGACTTTGTATACCAAGACATTAAATTCCAGTACTCTGAGTAGCAGCAAGGACTCAAACACAAATTGTATCATGATTACTATACGCACACATACACCCATAAATTATTCTTGCTGGACTATGCTGAAATTTACCAGCCTAAACACCTGAAAAAACTCAGTTTTTCCCTGATTGCTGCCCTACCCCTTCCCAGAATAAAACTGCTTCCCAGAAGAAGAGCTCCATATCATTTTTCCCACAGCTGACATTCAGGCAGCATGCTGTGTGATCCTGCAGAGGCAGATCTGCACACACGCCAATCATAACAATTCAGAGTTTGGTAGGTTTTGAACCATTTGTGCGCTAAGCGACGCACTGAAATTTTTCATACAGATGAAACATCTTTTTACTCCCATATGCCTGCGAAGAGTCACACTCAGGCATTCAAAAGTACTTAATTTCACATCAAATGAAACATATTAGCTCTGCCGCTTTCCAGTGGCTGATCTACATGGAAGAATAATGACTTATTACTGTTACCAGCCAGGAGTTGCTTTTTAGAGCAAGTAGTAGGAATTTATGTTCTTATTGTTAAAAGCCCTGAATTCAAGTCCTGTTGATGACCTGTTATTGGGACTTTCACTGAACTGTGGAAAACTATAATAAAAAAAGTATTCTTTCAGAATACAATGAACGACTGCAAAAAGAGGTTTCCAATGAAAGTTTCTTTGTAAGCCCCACTTGTAACTACACAGTAGCATTCACTACTTCTAATATCTACAACTTGTACCCAGGAGCCTGTGCACACACATATTTTCTGGTTTATGCCCTGAAAAAGAAGAAATTGAGTATATATCGGCTTACACCCACACAGTATTCTTCCTAATGTATTTCTACAACTACCAAGCAGAGGTCTCCTTGTAAATAAAAGCAGTCTCTTAAATTTATATTGCACTTTTCTTCTGCAGGGACTTTCATACGATGTACAAGAATGATCTCCGCCATCACTGAAATGCAGCCACTTCTGGAGTGGAATAAAGCAACTACTCAATAGGCACAGAGCAACATAAAACATCAGGAAGTGAAACATAATGCACCCAGTTGGGACTGCAACAGATATTTAAGAAAACAATCTGTAATTAAATTTAAGGACTGTAATTTAGCCGGAACACTATGAAAACTGTGAGGGCATCTTTAATTGCAAGGGGTAAGGAGCATGGCTTTATATCTCACCTGGGATGCATTACTTTCTCAAGGAGAATTGCCCCTCAAGCAGGGGGCTGGGTTAGTAAACTACTAATGCTACTTCATCAGAGAGGAGGGACACTGCGCCCTCCAACACACCACGCACAAGCCTCCTTCTTCCCCAAACTCGTCATCCTTGCCGCTAAGTGCCTCTTTCCTCTGCTACACTCTCTCTGAGCACATCTGCCAGGGAAGTAAATTCCTGCCTTTCTTTCTCAGCACCTCTGACATGCTGAGGCGCTCGGGTTAACAACTTCCCCCTGAACATACCACCAGCTGCTCTCAAGCTAGAGATAACAGAGCAGAGGTCTAAGAGAGAAGGCACTCCCTGAGATTTATATGCAGGCCAGTGGGCCAGTGAGCAGCACACCTGAGCCCTGCAGTAGGAGAAGGCTTCGTCCCTGGCTGGGATGATCTGCTTGCTCTGCTCTGGACCCACTGCAACAGATGGGTTGCTTGCCCCCTGAGCAGTGGGCTGGCTTAGGGAAGCACTTGCATCCCTCCTCACAGGTATGGTGCTGGCAGCAGGGCCTGGACATCCTCCGCACAGGTCTCCCTTTCTAAAAATGTGCTGTCCCTTTGCTGGCACTTGCCTCAGAGATAACACTTTGTCCATGAGCCTGAACCTTAGGGCTCCACCTCCCCAGGCCACACAGCACCTCTGCTGCCCACCATCAGCTAAATGTACTTGCACAACCCCTCTTCCCAGGACCTAAGCAGTCAGTAGAAGCAAGGCCATGAGATGATCCATCCTGGGCTAACTCTTATACCCTGGGCTAACTCTTACAGACAGGAAAACATTCCCTTCTCCACCTTCTGCTCAATGAAAGCCCCCTGGAATCAGCAAAACAACATACATGTTTTGCAGCTGACAGATCAGGAGTCATCACGAAGCACCCAAGGGCCCCTGGAAAGTACCAGCACTCTCCTAGGAATGAAAGCAGACTCTTACCAGGAAGGGGGTGATGGCTTCTGACCTCTACCAAACCCCGAGGAAAGGAAAAGCACTGGACTGAAGGAGCTCAGATTAAAGAGTGGCAGGGGTGCTGGCTGCCCACAAAAGTAGCAATTGAGAGCAAGAAGCAGAATCACGCTAGGCAACCACTACATCCCACGGCATTGCTAGGCCATAAGCCACAGGTCTCCCAGACAAATATTCTGAGTGATTGAGGTCTGGGCTCTGGAGAGAGGAACGCAGATGGACAGGGCACAGTCCTCACTCTTGGAAGTGGAGAAAACCAACAAAACAAAAGGAGCAAGGGAGACCCTTATTATCCCCTTTCATGTCTTGCAAGACATCATATGAAAGAGCTCCCCTTGTCCCTTAGAGCTGATAGGTTTTTTCTCTCTGATGCTGGCCAGGGAGCATTAGTGCAGATGAACTCCCTTCCAGCAGCTGGAGAGAACTGGGTTTCAGGACTTTAAACTGGATCACTTGGGACTGAATGAAAGCTTTCCCCCTCCATCAGTGGAGGAAATGAGGCATCAGCTATTTCAGGAAGCCAAGCAACGCAAGAGGCAGATCATACCTTCAGGAGATTTTAGTCAAATGCTATTGTCCCAGTATATTAATCAGAAGTGGAGAAGGAGCCATGGACACTGGGGGCGTCTTTAGGGACCTTGTACCTCTGCAATGCCCCTGATGTGGAGTTCAGATGGGCTGTCCCTTAGAGGGAAGAATCCTGCTTAGCTCAACTGCCCGAGCATGGGCTAGTAAACCCCAATCCACAGTAAGCTCTACTCTGTGCAGGGAGATAAGATATACCTGGAGCAGCTTCGAGTTGCAACAAGGCTATTACAGCTCCCACTTGGCCAGTGGAGGTTCATCTGGAGTGGCAAGTGCCTCCACACTGACTTCCCCCTAGACCAAGCCACAGGAACGGAGTGGACAAACCCGGCTGCAACAGGTCTGGAGCAGAAAGACATCACATTTACCCTTTCATGATGCCAGCAGGAAAAAGATGAAATTCCAGTCACCGTGTCTGTTCCCCTTTTTTTCAGTGGCAAACCAGGTCCATAGTTCAGAGTAAACTTCCCTTTTGGGTCAAGCTTCCTGCCTTCATCCATCCTTGGGCATTTCTCTGCCTGTTCCACCTTTCAGCTTCTCTGACCACTACTTTAATGATGGAAGTCGAGTAGCTGCAAGGCTGTCCAAGCTGACAAAATTCAACCACCTTTCCCCTGAGCAGTGATGCTGTTGCCACATTTCACCCACTCCGCAGCTAATGGGCTGCATGTGCTAAAAGGCCTCAGGACATGAGATGGCAATTTCAGAGCTGTCTGGACTGGCAGGGGCTGGGGTGTGGGCAGAGGACCTGCGGTTTACGGTGGAGAAGGCTGATATGTGTGACTCTTCCCATAATCCAAAAAGCTTGAGCTGGGAGGAAGTTAAGCAATTGAATAAAATACCAAAATAAATAGTTAAGGAAGAAGAGGCTGAGAAGCAATCCTGGGCTTATGGCTGAGGCGACTCTCATCCCAGCATTCACAGAGGGAAGCCAATGTGCAATGGCTGCCCCACTTCCCGCCCTACCCCACCCCACCCCACCCCACCCCATCCCATCGCATCCCTTAGCCCCACAGAGAGACCTTCCTGTTTGCAGCTCAGATCTGCCTTCACAGTTTCTCCACCCAGCAAGAGGCGCTGAGCGAGAAGGAGGCTTTCAGAGGCCAACGCTGCAGCCGGATCCAGCCAGGACTTTTCCACCTCTCAGCGTGGTCCACGTGATGGGTCCAGTCCTCATCCATCTTCTTTGGGCTAGAGGGTGGGAAGCACAGAGAGGTGGAGAAAGGAAGGCAGCGCTGGCCAAAGCAAATCGCACACAGGGCACTTAAACACATGACAGCCTGGAAGATGCAGATGTGCAGAAGCACATGTGGTGCGAGGCAAGACACTCTGGCCACCAGCACGCGGGGCAGCTGCTGCCCCACGTCAAGGCCGGCGGCTTGTTACTGCAGGACGCTGCAGCTGGAGTGGGGCAGCCCCAGCCTGCAGGAGGGCCTGGAGAGCCAAAGGGGAGCACTGTGGCATACGTCCACCAGGTAGTGGACTCTGCAGTAAGGAGGGTATACTGTTCCGGTAGAAATTTGTGCTTTAATATATTTCTGTTTGTTTGTTTAAAACAAGTCCCCACTTCCCTGAGGAAGCCCTGTCCAACGTTCTCAAGGAGACATGGGGGCGGTTTTTCCTCCTTCATTTGCTCTTTACATTTCTTCATTCCTATTTTTTGTCTTTCATTGCTTCTTTTCTGTGTGTTTCTGTTTCCTTCCTTCCTTCTCCTCTTTCACTCTCTCTCTCTCACACACACATGCTTTTTGTTTTTGTCTTTATTTTTTAATTTTTTTTGTTTTAGACATTATGACTTTCTCAAGGAGTCCTCCAGCTCTGAACCAGATCCCTTTGTGTGATCATGCCTATCAGTCTTTGGTAACATATGGACACTTTGGTGTGCCAGTGAGGAGGGGAGGAAGAGGAGCAGAGGAGGCTGAGAAGGAAAGGAGCAGGA